ATTTTTCCAATCTCTTTTACTTTAAGAGATATTCAGCTGAATCACTTAAAATGATTACTGTAATTTTTATATATTCAAATACGCTTCGTGCTATAACTCTACTGGCACATTTGCTTCCAGTATCAAATGCTATGAGAAAAGGAAAACGAAAAAGAAAAGGAACTAGCAAGGAAAACTTATCAAAAGGAGTAAGTCTTTTATTTCTTATTCTTATAATTTCTTAGTATAAATTGATATAAATATGATTGTTAAAACACGATTCAAATATTTGGATATTTAATTTCAGAAGGACATTGATAACTTTGGACAACATGATGAAATTTATCCTCCCATTTTTCCAAATTCTTCTTTATTACAGATATGGCCTGTAAGTTTGGTTAGTGCATTTAAAAGTTACATATTAATACTTGCTAACACACAGAAAAATCTTTTTTTTAGGAAGGAACAAACATAGAGGCACAAGCTCTTAAGCTAAGGAATGAATCTAATAATCCAATTCAGCCCTATATTATTCTAATAAAGGGACCATCTGCAGCACAGTATTTTATTCAAGCTGGCAATCAAACTTTAACTTTGGACAATAAAACTTTGAACTCGCCTATCATGGCACTCGATTTATTGGTCAAAACATATTATGTTTTTGACGTTAAGTATCCAGAAACACTAATATATTTTTTTGATTTCTTAGAAAACTATTGTTTTAAAATATCGGGTAAAGTACAACATGCTTTGGTGTCTTCTATTCATATTAATATTTCTAATATTACACTGGATAATATTGCATAATATCTATATCTGATTCATATCATTCAATGCGCGTTTTATATTTTTGGCTACTATCTTGAATAAAATAATATTACTTCTAATTATTACGTAAGTTCTTCTGTATTGTTCTCTCTCGTGAGTACCGCTGCTTATAATCGGATTCTGTGAACGCCTCCTCCAAGCACTAGGGAATGTAACCTAACAAAAAAAGCTACAGGATATTACTTTGGAATCATTTTCTAGAGATTTTTTTATTGCAATATTTACTTGATAATCTTCAGCTTTATCTTTCGCTTTTTTCGTTCTGTCTGGAAGGTGGTAAAGACTCACCCTTGTCTAACGCTTCCTAGATTGTATTCCTTTGCAACATTGTTAGCTTGGAGAGACGCGTTAAAAATTGTGTAAAAAACAGGATTCTTTGCGCAAAGCTCAATATATTTAACACGCGTCGAATATTGGTCATTATTGTTTACTTACGCTTAATATAATTTTTCGTTTCCTCGCTGTATTTCGCTTTTGGGGGATTGTGAAACGCGCCCACCCCCTGATCATTCTTATGTTTAATTTTTAATTGACTTAAATCTTGACATTGTTGAATAAACTGAATAAAATAAAAATTATAACATGTATTAAGGTTATTACTCTTTGTTACTGTTTGCTCACATTACTGATTTTGCTGCTCTAAGTCACTGTTTTAGTAGTGTAATATTACTGATTGAAATAGTCAATATTACTGATTTAATCAGCTCACATTACTGATTTTGCTGCTTTAAGTCACTGTTTTAGTAGTGTAATATTACTGATTGAAATAGTCAATATTACTGATTTAATCAGCTCACATTACTGATTTGGCTGCTTTAAGTCACTGTTTCTAGCAGTCCAATATTACTGATTGAAACAGTCAATAATAACTAATTCTTTCAGTGAAATGTCACTGATTCTCAGTGGTATACTTATAACTGCTTCAATCAGTGACTATTTACTGTTTCTCAGTAAAAATACACTGATTCTCTTTTAGAGAATAGAGTTGAACAATCACTCCAAGTAAAAAGTGAATAACGGGAGTGAA